GGGTTAAGCAAATCTTTCCTCCCGGGTAAAGCATTTTGCTAACCAGCCTCCATGAAACAAGACCAAGATTCAGTAGAAAATCAACTGTTGAGCAATGCTAGAAATTGGGCCGTGATGGCTGATGGCTCACATAGGAACTTGTATTATTTCTTTTTTCGGTACCCACACGATTTGGACACCACCTGTCACTGTCACTCTGGGTCTAAGTTTCCAATTATTATAACACACTGTTCATTTTAACAGCCCCCATGGTCTTGTTCCACCTGACTGGCTACGTGTAGGTCATACCGAAACATATGCAAAAGAATACCACAGATTATCTGTGGACGTGTACTTACAATTTCCGCTGTATGCCCTCTGAATATATGATAGCACTTTCCTGTCTCTGAGCTCCACAGCTTGCAAGTTTTGTCAAAGGAACCCGTCGCAATTTTATCCCTAAAAAAGAAAAACAATTACAAAAAACAGCTTGCTGATAGTACGTTAGGCCACCACACAAAAGCAAAGATTGTGCCAGTCATTCAGTTTCAGTAACTGATAATTTTGTCTTCTCTAGGCCTCCCAGATCCAGTTAAAAAGGAGGCTGTAAAAGATGTTATAAAGCGAGAGGCCGCTGTTACTACCAACAGACTTCTCCATTCATCACAGCCATATTTTTGCCTACCAGTGGACCACGGCTGGTCATCAAAAACTTGCAAGAAGCTATCAAAAGACCAAATAATAAATATTACAACTCTCAAAAGAACTTAATGAAAATGCGGTCTTCTTTGATAGTGACAGAGAGAGTGTTCATTTCGAGGTGAAACCTGACATCAATCAGGGGCGATTGTTTTCCCTCAGTGAATAGTAGGCAATATGAGAGAGGTCTCTACAGGTCTTAATGTTGGACAAGTCACTTGTAAGTCAGATGAAATGCGGATATTCTAAGCTGCAAATGACTTTGTAGAGAGATATTTTGTGAATGGGGAAGCAGTTTGAAGCAAGAAAAGGGGAAATGATCAAATCCAAGGAAAAGTCACACACATGAATAAAAGTGTGACGTCTGTTCTATTGGTCTTCCCAAGCAGTACAAAGAAATTAGATCAAAATGTAAATCTTACAAATAATTATATTTGACAGAAGAAAAAAATGACAAATTTCACTGGTCAGTTTGCTCCCGTTCTGATTGACACTCCAAGCTTACCCATAAGGGTTGTTGAACGCGATGGCGTACACCACGTTCCTGTGCCCTTCCAGCGTGTGGAGCTCCTCTCCGGAGGCTGTGTCCCAGACTTTGCAGGTCCGGTCGTAGCTGCCCGTGATGAAGCTGGAGCCCGACTTGTTGAAGGCCACGTTGGTCAGGGGGAGAATATGTGCACGCAGTGCCTGTAAACAGGGGGGAGACGGAAACTTTTGGCCATTTTCCCAAATACCAGTTCTTTAACTATGACAATGACACTGTTAACGGGAACAGTGACAACATCTGTGCCAAATTGGGTGGTCTCGCCCGCTCACCTTGAAGAGGTAAAACTTGTGGTCATCATTCAAGCCAATCTTCTCCTGAAGTCGCTGTATGAGCTGTCTGACCTGGGGCGTGCGATTGGGTGTGACCAGGGGTTCCTTTCTGACAATTTCGTCTAGGATAGCATCCACGTCACTCCTGCGCACAGGGAAACCAAGAGGAGTTACAAATTCCCCCACAGTGCTTGTTTAACTGAGACAGATTTCAACCACTACCGATGCTGTAGTCAAGTCCATCGTTCATCCTTCCAAGTCCGTCATAAGTCATCTGGTCTTCATGTCACAAATTATTCAAATGAACAGTGGCAAAAGCATTCACCTTTCACCCAACTGTTCCTGATTGGTCTCGTGAACAGACTTGTGACTGGACTTGTAAAGGGACTTTCGATGGACTAGAATACAACACCGGCATCTTGGGGGAGGGGCCATCTGGACTTACTCTAGCTTCAGGTCTAGCAGGTCGATGGACTTTGTCTTGAGAGTGTTGGACTGCTCATATTCCAAGATAATCCCTGCAAATCACAAAAAGATTTTGTTAACAGGAAATGATGGATTCAGGCATTAAACCTAACCTTGAAAGGATGCTCAGCTAGAAACCCTGCCAGACACATTGCAAACTCCAACTCAAATGCTTTGCACAGCAAGGATAGCTTTGGGGTGTTCACAAGTGATTCTTTGTGCAGAAACTGATCACTGGCTCCACGTAAGAAAAGGTTTTAAAAGTGCACTGGTATTCATATGACAAGTAACAAAATATTACACTTTTCGGGCTACTAGAACCGGACCTTTAGGTCTATGCCATTACCAAAAAATGCAGACAATGTTGAAATACTTGTCTTCAAATATTTTATTTCATTTTCAAGAAACTGTGCTGACATAATAACGTTTATGCGGTTCATGTTGATACTGTCAGCTTGTTACCGTGGTAACTGTGTCATCAGCTTTACATCATGCCATCTTAAACAAATATCAATCGATGAAATGGTGAGCACATTCACAAAAGCTCCAGAATCCAGCCCAAGGCAACGATCACTATTTCATACAACAGGCAACACTAACACCTGTTACCAAGTCTCATTGATTTTTATGGTGCATGTAAGTCAGGCGTAAGTAGCAAACTTAGGATCCTGGAGACTATCCGCCCCGAGTTGAAGTGTACCCTCACCAGTGAAAGGGAGACAGACTGGTACAAAGTTTTCCAACTGGGTTTTCGCATGCATTCGGTGTGCACACAGAGACCATACATTCCAGATTAAATCTGTTGCATGTACTCAGTGTACCCTGTGTCAAACACGAATAAACTTGCAGTGGGCATGGCGAGTTAGTACCAAAGAACTTTCGATTTCATTTAAAAACATGCCCTCTTTTGTTCCTTATCAGAGTAGATAGGTCTACCGTCACAGACGTTAACTCAAAGAGAAACATCCGAGACTGGTGAGTCATTGATTTGACATCAGAAATGTCAGACACTTATAATCAAAATGTTTGTACGTACGGTAGGCCCCTAACAGTAACAACATGCCTAATCATGGTCAAAGCAAATAAGTGTGTTCAAAGACTGCTAATACAAAGTCGGTTTAGCTCCTTCGTCTGTGTCTGGTGACAGGCAAAACACCCTAGCATGCCTCGCCCACCAAAAAAACATGATGGCGAATTGGCGATGACTTGACATGCTTGCCTTGCAAAAGTTAAACGGTTAGCCTACTTTACCATATTTACTGCGTTAGTAACAACATACAAAACACAACTTCACAAGTCGTTTTTTCTGCAGTCCCAGCTGTGAACAGTTCGCCCAACTTACCCGGGGGATAGTATCTAAGTAGAAACCGTTTGAGCCTCATAATCACGGCACCTTCTTCGACCCAGGTAGACGAAAGAAATCCTGCTTAACAACGCAGCAGACTTTTTATAGTATCGGCGCTTTAGAACGCGTGCAGCTAACTAGCTAGCAAGTGGCGGAATTTTGTGCATGTAGGGCGCCGCCAACGGCGAAACAATCTGGCAACCATCAAGATGGCGGCCACCGGTGGAGTCACGACAGGCGGAGACGGCGACAAAGATTTTCGGAGGTAGGCGTTACCCGTCCCGGAAACTTTGTTCGCTCTTGTGGGTTGGCCGTTCTTGGACGGAGGATTTTTGTTTTCAAGTTTTATTGGTCTGAAATGCAACAATTCAAATAATCATTGCGAAATTACTCCGTCAGCCTGTGCGGTTTGTGCCAACTTCCGTCAAGCCAGCCGACGTATCCCTAGCCCTGAGCCCAGGCTGTACATGCAGGCCTAACGTTACGAGCGTATAATGTCAGCGTTGGAAACTATAGCGGTGCACACAGTCCTGATAATCTGCGCGATACTGTTGATCGTGTTGGCGTACATATCAATCGTACTTAGAGCTAACCATTTAAAAAAGAGTCCCATATTCAGCGGACATGCACTCGCCTGCTGACTAGACATGACTGACAGTCAAATTTACCTCACTTTGATTTTCATCGTTATTATAAGACAATTTTAGGCCTAGGCTAGTGATAAGTCTAAAAAGTCTACTATTATGATGGTGTAGGCCCTAGCCTGGCTCTGTTTAGGGAAAACTGAAATTGAAGAAAAGTTAGCCCTACTAGCTTGACAAAGGTTGTATTTTTATAACTTGGTGGTGTTTGTTAAACTCAAGAATGGTACTGGTACAGTGGTAGGCTTATTGGCCACATTTGGAACTTGGAAAAGTTCCATATACGAACAACGCTTGATGCCCCTGTGCACAAACCTGTGAAACTGTCTGAAAAACCTACATGTAAGTGTGGAAAAAGTTCTATGTGCACTGTACAGATGCCATTTGACACCCTGTGCCTACGAATTTGGTCTGAAAAACCCTAGGTGTTTTCCAAGTAGGCCTAAACGACTTAGTATTTTCCTTCCCAAATTGAACTTTTCTGGACATGTTTTTGCTTTCTCACACTGACAGCTAATTATAGGTCACTGTAGGAATAATTACTGGCGTCCCTGTGGAACTCTTGCCCCAAGTGTTTTCTAAGTAAATGCTTCAGAATTTTCCAAGCTAAATTTCACTTTTTAGAATATCTTATCACCTTCTGATGGCTGTTATAACATTTTAAGAGTAAATAAATGTTTTCCGTATGTAGAACTCTTTCCAGAGCTTGTTTTAAATTCCATCCCCCATCAAAATTTTGTGGACTGTTAGTGCTAACCTTGAGTATGTATTATCTGTTGAATTCTTGCATTGTGTTTACAAATCCATACTGTTCTGATCAAATGCATTTGTTTGGCACGACAAATCAATAATGTGGCAACAGCTGTTCATAGCCACGAATAGCCTAGTTTGATCTGGAAAAATATGTTTGACAATTGTGTTTGGCTTATTTTCTCCTTTTATGTTTATTTTGTTGGAGATATTGTTTTGTTTGCTTTTGGCAAAGGTAGATGTGTTAAAAAGCCACATTTTGAGTGTCAAAATGAGAGATTTAGTTGAAAAAAGAGACAAAAAAGTGGCATTTTATCTTTATTCAGTCAAAAGTAAGAAACAAATTGCAATTTATGAAAAATGAAGTGGAAAAAATTTCAAAGAGGATCAGATTTAAAACAACTTTTCCTTGAAGTAGCTGGCTTCTTTTTCTTTCATGTCGCTTACGATTACAAATTGACAAACACCACAAAAAATCTCATAAAAGCAGTGTTGGATTTCCTCATCCCATCCCCCATTGTCCCTAAATGACAGGCATTCCAAAGCTTAATCGATTGTGAAACAGCTTCCACAGAAAGTGGAAGGAATTACTTTGAAGGTTTCACTGAAATGGACGAACCTTCCACTGTTTTATTTTTATGGTAACAAAACTCTTTATTTCCTCAAATTACTTACGAGGCGTGGACAGTTATTGACCATTTAGGAAGCTGGGAGATTCCAGAATATTAAACAGTGACATGTTTAATCTCGACTCTCCCTCACTAGTAATATGCTATTTTTGTTTATCCTTTGATTTTTTTTGGGGGGGGGTGGTTTTAACCTTAACAGTACCGGGCGTTGTTTTGCTTGGAGTACTCAGTACTACAAAATATTAAGTAACACTCTGAGCCTGAAGGACCTTGCGCTACAAATTACTATTTCTGGCTAGGTTTATTTCGTTGTTACTCGTACAGAGAACAATGAAACCATGCATTCATAGTGCCACAGCACGGTATGGTACATTGTCTACTCTATTGTATTTTATGGCTTCAGAGAATAATAATGTCATGTCCTCTTACAAGCGACAGGGCTGAGTACTACATTTTAGTACTAAGTAGTACTTTGTAGCATTCGGGACTGTTAGGGTTAAAAGGCTTAACTTACCCGCCCACAGAGTTGTTTGCATAATGCATGATGCATGATACATGTATATGCTGAGCTCGGGCAAATTTCCAATACATGTACGTGTTTATTTCCTTTTGTCGGTGTCTACTTTTGTCCACTTCAATAACTTCTCTTCGAAATATCCAGTTTCAGAAAACAAATCAGCAATTGAAAAAGTGAGGTCTATTTTTCACCAACAAGTGTGCCCAACTCTGACATCTACCTTTGCCAGTGTCATGTACATGTACAGTGTACATACTCGCAACCATGTGCAAGTTGGGACTCATCAAAAAGACAGTTATTCTTCAAACAGGCTATTCTCTCATCTGGGCCTGGAGCCAATACTATGTTAATAAATCTGTTGTAGGGCTTTATACCGAATATTACTGGTATATATGTTATGACTGAGATTTATGGGAGTAGATTTCTAATCAGGACCAGATAATCGTTTGGTCTCCCCTCCTCCAGAGTCCTGAAATTCAGTGAGGTAGATCACCGCCCAAAGGTGTTTATTTGTTTTTGCTTTTGCAAGAATATGGTATTTACCGGATAATCAAATATTCAGTCATTACGATTGACTCTTTTGTTATCTGTTGACAATTCCGGCTGATGCCAGCTACATGTACATGCAGAGATATACACGTACAGTACACAGATTTGTTCAGAGTACGTTTATGCATGTGGCGAGTCATTCTGCCTGGTTTGCTCGCATAAATTATGTATTGGCACAGGTGTATGCTTCACATAATGAATTCAACTCATGCCCACATGTTATGAAATAAAACAGTACCCTGAGCATGTACACTTTATTACAGGTGCAGAATACTGACATTTAAATAACAAAGAAAGCCTAGCTGCATGTCGATTGTACATACATGTACATGTAAGTACAATGTCGAGCTTCCAACGTGGTATACTCGGGTTGCGGTTGAAAATTCAACCTTGCTGTATTACTTTACCTTACTTCCTGCTGTGCACGGAGAGATTCGAATCATGATGACGCTGCTCTCTACTTGAAGTGGTTGCAGTTTCGTTGCTAAACCTTTGTGTTAGGGCTGTGCCGAATATCCAAATAACCGAATGTTTGATCAATTTTCAAATTATATATAACAGGTTTGCCCTTACCCAACGTATATTAATATTAATAAACACTGTATGCTCAGTGCTTGTCCGAGAGCTTGCGATACATCTTGAAAATTGAAGATTTTCAAATATTTGAGTATTATTATTTTGAGTTTGAATATTCGAATGCAAAATTCATGAAAAGGAAGGGAAAATTTTCTTTGTTTTAAATGAGAAAAATGGCACCATGGAGGCTTGTTTCAAGCAGATTCAAATGAAAAGTGTCAGAAACCTTACAATGATTTAAAAAGTAAATTATCAATCAGACAATTTCAAAGGAATAGAAATTTTCTACAGGGCATCTCTTAAATCTTGCTAAATCGTTACTGGAGATACTCCTAGATGTGAGAAGCTATTACACTGATCATAATGTACAATTGTGTGTGTTATTGCAACTGATTTTGTATATGGTTTGTTCATCAACAATCTGCTTGTCAGTACGACTGAATATCTGGATATTCGATCAAATTGAAGATCGAATATTCGAAAAGTTAATTATTCAAATTGACTCAGCCCCACTTTGTGGGTTTTTTGTCAGTCTCACTTGAGGAAGTTGTACTGTTGTTCCACCTTTGGATATTCTGGACTCTTCCTTTTTTGTGGAGAACGTTACATGTTGTATTTCAGCATGTTTCATCCATGTTGTTTTCTTAGCAGCCATAATTTTGTTGTTATTATAGGCAGAGTGTAATTTTCTGTTGGCAGAGATCATGCTGTTCATTTCTGTTGATATTTTGTGGTTTTGTGGTTAATAAGGTCAGTGACTAGTGAAAATAGGGTTCAGGGTTCGAATTCTGCTGTTGGCAGTCGGACCTTTCTCCACCTAGGAGTTTAGCTCTGTACTGTTAATAAGCCACGGAACAGCCTACTGTGGACTGGCATCCCATTGGGGCGAGGGAGAACAGAGTAGAAATGTTAGGGTTCAGGGTTCGAATTCTGCTGTTGGCAGTCGGACCTTTCTCCACCTAGGAGTTTAGCTCTGTACTGTTAATAAGCCACGGAACAGCCTACTGTGGACTGGCATCCCATTGGGGCGAGGGAGAACAGAGTAGAAATGTTCTCACTCGGTTCAGATGAACACTGGCCTGGGGAGGTGAATTGGCTCAGAAAACACTGTACTCTCCCACCCCTTTCCATTCCCAGACCAAAAAAAAACCACACCCACAAGCATACTACATGTAGATTTTGCTATGAAGACATCACCAATTCCAAATCAACCCACCCCAATGTTTTGGAGACTTTAGCTACAACTGGAGACCTTTTTTGGCACAGCACAGAACTCTTTCAAAAGTTACTATTTTATTGACTTTGGGGATTTGGGTTTTGTCTTTTTTCTTTTTTTAGTGAAATTGATGCCTATGGCTTCCAGAGACCGGATGACTTTGACTATGACACCTACGAGCAGTTTATGTCGCAGTACCTCAGTGTCTTGGCTCGGCGGGCGGGCAAATGGAGCAAGTTCATGGACGGAAAGAAAAAGGTCAAAAAGTCAGCCAAAGGTAGGGGCAATGAGAGGTGTACATTTGGTTCAAGCCCTATGGATAGAGGGCCAACTCGGCAGGTTCTTTGCACAAATCCTTCCCCCAGCTGACAAAAGTGACACATGCATTGGTGCTGAACACCTGTCTGGTCGGTCAGTTGGTCAGTTGGACAGTTGGACAGTCAGTCGAGGGCTAGCAGCCCTCCACCACTAGTGGATGCTTTTCAAATTAAACAACACTGAATATCATCTCACCGTGGTTGCCGCTGTTCTTGGGAGTGCCTTTCGCTGGCATGCAGTCTTTGCCGAAAAGAATACTTTGGGCAGTGAAAAAGTGATAAATGCTTGTATGTCACATCCTGCACCCCTTCCGGCCCTCCCCCCCCCCACATTGCGACACCCCTGGGCACATTACATAGACTCTGTACAGAAACAGGAGACAGCCCTGTTTAACCTCTGCCAAAGTTTGGGGCACATCGCCTGATTCATATCCCTAGCATGGAAATACATGTGACGAGTTTTCACTTGAATGTGCACAAAATCAGCATTATCTGTACACGGGCGCCCGGCAGCTTTTGCAGGACTGAGGGAGGTAGGCCACAGCCTCTGTCCCACAATGGGATTGACTTAAAGAGGATTTTGGAACACTCTTTGCAAGAATGTCCAAACTTGAGGTAAATGTGATGAGGTATCCTTGTATTTTTCACCTTCACAGTTAAAAGATATATCCGGAAGGGCATTTCCAACGAATACCGGGGAGTAGTGTGGATGTACATCAGTGGAGCTGAGAAGATGAAAGCAGGGAATCCTGGCTTGTACCAGAGGCTGCTGGAGGGTCCCAAGGATCAAGAGCTGATGGAGGTCATCAAAACTGGTGAGTTGTCAGGCAATGAGAATGTTGGCCTGGAGCTCTTCTTCTGAGGAATCAACCGAAATCAGCCAAGAATTAACATGCAGTGCTATCTATATTGAGTTTAATGTTACAGTGAACAAGTTATATTTCTGCTGAGATATGATTAATACCATGATCAGCTAGGTATTTCTTTACAATACTGTAACCAGCTCGTTATTTCTACTTTATGATGTATCGAGCCAATGGTTTGAGCTTTCTGTGTAAGCATGTTGTAGAGATTTCAGATGAATGTCGTAACAAGCCTGGGATTTCTGTTAGTCAAATAACGGACAACTTGTTTTTATCAAATGACTTGTTTACTGTGTATGGAGCACACCTTTGCAAAACATTTCCCCGAAATCATGTTGCCCCCAAAATTGTTGAATTTCAGATCTTCACCGAACATTCCCCGAAAACATCCACTTCTGTAATGACTCAACGGTCAGCAAGAGAGCCTCACTGCAGAACGTGCTGGTGGCCTTCTCCCACCACCACCGGGCGGACGGCTACTGCCAGGGCCTAAACTTCATTGTCGCCCTGATGCTCCTGATTGTCAGGGACGAGGAGAGCTGCTTCTTCCTCCTGGAGACCCTCGTCAAGAGAATCTTGCCAGGTGGGCTAGAGAGCTTGAGTCACTGATCACCGGCTGTCTTGATCAGAGGCACTCCTCCTTTGATTGAAAAGAGCCATGGTGATGGGGCATGTGGGGGGGTGACTGAAATGGGGTCCAGACTCTGAACTAGGACCGTAATCTAACCTGTCACAAGTCCCAATCACAAGTCAAACCATCTCGAGGCAAGTCACCAGCTGTTCCAGTAAACTGTGGCTAAAAGCTTTCCATTGCCACTGTTGATCCTGCAGCTCTCAACTGAATGCAAGTCTGGACTCATGGTAGTACTTTTGGCGGATTCGACTACAGCTCTGCTCTGACCAGACTCAATCAATCCACACCAGGGGCCCTCCTTTGAGGGCGGCCAACGCCAGTTTTTCTAGCCGGGCGCATCAACCTCTTTTTCCTTTTTTTTTTTCCTGTCTTGTTTTCAGCCTACTACACCCGGCAGATGAACGGTCTGAAGATTGACCAGGAGGTGCTGGGAGAGCTGGTCAAGCAGAAGCTGCCCGAGGTCAGCCGGCGGATCGAGGCGGAATCGGTGCCCTGGTCCATCCCCACCACCAAGTGGTTCATCTGTCTCTTCCTGGACGTCCTGCCCATCGAGGTCAGTTGGAGAGGCATACTTCAACCCAGATTCAAAAATTCGTTGTATTTTGAGGTCTATGCCAGTTTCTTCACCTTCTACCAAAAGAAAAATTAAAACAAAGTGCGACGTCGGTGTGTTACAGGTCTATTGCAAAACTTGTTTTGGGTGCTTTGTCTTTTTAATTGACAGACTGTCTTGCGGATCTGGGACTGCCTCTTCTACGAGGGCTCCAAGATTCTCTTTCGGGTCTGCCTGAGCCTAATCAAGCAGAACCAGGACCTCATCCTGGGGGCCAGCAGCTTTCCCACGCTGATAGAGGCCTTCAAGAAGGTCACGCTGCACTCCAGGAACACCGATTGTCACACCTTCATGCAGGTGAGGCTTGCCGGGTGTCCCAACTTCAGACCAAGGCCCGACTGCAGGCCATGGCTCAAGTTGGACACTTTGTTTCTCATTCCAGATGAGGGCCAAGTCCTGCATGGACTGTGCACATTGTCAACAGGGGTCCAATTGTAGCCCAGGCCCAATTTCAGATGTGGGCCACACTGGGCCCATTTTGTAACCAAGATCCAATCTCAGACAGTGACCCAACTTAAGTGCCGAGCAGTGTCATTGTTAATCTGAAAAATTAATCAATCTGCAAATCCACAAGTATTAAATATGTCGATGGAAAACCTGTCTTTGGTTTTTTTCCCACCAGATTCTATTTCATACAAGAATCGTACTTGGCTGTAGGAAGAGATTTCGTCACTAATGCAATTCCGATAGCTGAATGGGTTTTGTATTGCTCTTGACATTTGTACACCTGAAATTCATTTCCTCGTAGAACGTGTTTCTTGACTCTCAGCCCCTGGGTAGGGCCACCATTGAGAGGCTGCGGAACGACTGCAAAATGGCAGAGACCAAGGAGTAACCGCAGGGACGGGCTTGTGATTACAGAGCCAGTCTCCACATCAACTCATGCGGAGGCTGCATCCGGAAGTCCTGGCTACGGCCGTTGCCAGCACACGTGTCTATGCGAAGTTGTCATAGCCGCTACCCAGATGCCGTCCATAGACACGCCTGTTTAATGCGAGCCACTGGTAAGGGCTTCCAGATGTAACAATAACTTGTCCTACATCACTGGCGAGGGAATCCTTAGAGTTCATGCGTCCATGCTTTTCTTTTGTTTCAACAACCTGAAAAAATATACCTACAGGTAAAATTGACGAGGTATTACATTATGGAGAATTCAGATTATGTTGATGTGAATTAACGAATTCCGTGTACCAGATTTAATTCAAATTTAACTTGCAAAAGGCTTATAAGTCACAAGCTATTCAAATGAACTGCAACAAAAGCATTCCTTTGTCATTGTTTACGTTGTGACTTGTGACTGGTGAATGTCTCAACACTAGTGCCTGATAAGTGTATAATGCCATTAGCTATTCCCAGGACACCTGAAAATTGCCTAACATCATGGCAGCTCATGAACCTGGCTCCCTACTCTACAGTGCATAATGATGTTATGCATACAGCTGTGGGTTACCAGTAATTCCTCAAATCTGAGTAGGCTGGTGCCAGACAATCAACCAGACTAAATGTGCACTCGGTCAGAATTAGTCAAACTGCGGTTAAGATAAGATAAACTTATTAAAGTCCAAAACTGGAAAATTACATTGCTCATTTAAGCAAACAATTTCACAAAATGTAAACAAAAATAAGATAATTTCCAACCCAGTTTAAAAAAGAACGCCCCAAAAATGAAAACCTAAAAATTAAATTTTAAAAAAATTAGAAATTAAATAATCGTACCAAAAAAAATGCACACAACATAAGCACTTCTTATTTCTGAAGTACTTGTTACCAGAAAACAGTCCATCAGATAAAAACGATCTTTTAAACTTCTCATTGAAACACTTTATGGCCCTTCCTGAAAAAAAAAAGAAGGATATCGGTTTGTGTGTGCAGCCAGTGAGCTCCGTCTACTGCTGCCTGGAGTAAGCATAGTCTTTGATATGAGCTTGCTCTGAATTGCTGGTAAATGTTTGGGATCATTTGGCCTGCTGGGCATTAGTCCAAAGAAGAAAAGACTTGTACTCACTATACAAGCCAGGATTTTCACCTCCAGTAAGTGGTTGCCCTAGGATGTCAGCTTTGGATTATACCAAATGTGTAAATAGTTGGCTCAAATCAGATTTGAAGAATTATATGTTTACTTGTATTTCAAGAATTATTCATATGAAACTTGTATGGCTTTAATCTTTAACCTAGTAAGCTTATAATTTCTTGGTGGTTTTCTGAGAAATTCTAAAAAAAAAATTCTGAAATCTTGTTGGATAAATTTGATGTTGACCTTAACTTAGAGGGTGGAGCTTGGCATGACGGTTGTTAGGGTGAGATTCACGACTTGAGTCCAGAGGTTTGGGGGTTGGAATCCAACTGCAAACCACGGGTCCTGGTGCCCGAGTATTAAGCCATTTCAACCCCGCTTGCCTCTCTACCCAGGAGTATAAATGGGTACCGTCATTACATGTAATAGGGGACTGGCATCCTGTTCCGGTGGGGAATAGAAATATTCTTGGTCATTTTGTACCAAGGAGATGGGAGACAAACCCTGGCCTGATGAAACAAATTGGCTTGAACCAGACTAGATTTTAGACCTAAACCCTGCCTTCACCTGTCACTTTTCCTCGGAATCGTCTCAAATTTGCAGGTCTGACACTGTGCACATGTATTCCTCATACAAAAAGCGAGTTCAACTGTGTTTTGTGTCATTTGTGAAGTCCCAAATCCCTCCTGATCAAGGCGTTAGTTTAGAAGACTCTGTGAAGTAGGCCTTGAGTGTTTATGAACCATGAAGCAACAGACCAAATATTGACCGAATTCTTCAAGTTATGCTCACTGATATTTGTTGTGAGATGTGTAAAACTACCACACAGTACTACTCTACGTTGGGAATGACTATTGGGTTGGGAGTTTCAAACCAGAGACGTTATCCTTGTGTTATGGTCAAACAACAAAAAACTCATTTACAATCGGAAGAGACGTAAAAGCTCTCAACAGATTACCGTTTTCATTCCAGAGTTTTAAATGTGTATGTTTAGACTACACCGTAGTCCTTAGTTTAGGCGGAAAAGTTGTTCTTTTTTATGCTTCGGTCTGAAGAAAACTTATTGTGCAATTGCGAATGTGTGTACCCTATCTAACCTACTCGACATTAAAGTTCACAAAACAGTATTTTATGGGTTTAATGCTACAAAGCTGCACGTCGTTAAGTTTGTTTATTGGCAAAGTCTTAATTTGATGAAGATTGCTTTTTGTAGTCTGGTAGTTATGAATTTATATGTCTGATGATGTAGAGTAGAGCTTTAGCATCGTAAAACAGGTCAGAACAAATAATTGTTAAACAATGGTCACATTCTTAATGATGTCACAAATTATGTAAGGTGAACATGTGGTGATTTCCTAAACAAAAAGTAGAGATTTTGTCGACTTACTTAAATTTTGTAGGACCCTAGACTTGTTCGGAAAAACACTCTAAGATGGGGAATGATCTCAGAATCCATGACAACACTTGACTTCCATCAAGTGTTGTCACGGATTTTGAGATAATTATTTGCCAAAAGTCTGTTAAGTAGAGGTGTATTAATTTGAAACAAAAAGGTTTGTAGAGCAGCTAGGAAATATTGATTAGTACTAATTTTTGACTCGTGACAATGAGCCAAGAGCCACACGAAAAACATCCTTGTCAACTGTAATCATGAGCCAATTTCATGGAACGGTCGAGTACAGTAGTTGACCGAAACGGGCTTCTGGAGCTACGGCTATGGCTGTTGTTCGCATGCTCCCACGTACTTGCAATGGGCACCTCGAGGATCTAGCTTGTAGCCCTAGCCACAGGATGCGGCCCAAGCACGGAAAAACTTGCTAAGCGATATCAGGTTACAGGCCAAACCGCCAAGCCATGAGCATTGCTTGCGACTAGGTGTCAGAAGAATTTTGCTTAGTACATGAAAATCTGGCTTATCAAATTTATGCTTTTAAGCACCTCTGTCCTCTCCAGTATATCAGAATACAGGCTCTCACACTAGGCAGTCCTGGCCAAAGTACTCGCACCATTAAGATCCAGCCACGTTTATGTAAAAGGAAGAGAAATGTTACGGTACCATGATATTTTCCACAGTACTGGTGATTCCTATTTTGGCCCGGAAATTTTAAGAAACGTAATTTTTGTACTTTTGTAAAAAAAAAAAATATGTAAATACTGTACTACTGTTGGACACAAAGCATATATTTATTTTCAAAAAGATGTTATGAGCCCAAAAATTGGGAATAATTGCTCTATTGCCAGAACAGTAAATATTCTAAGTTTACCCAGCGGCACCTCAGCGAATTTTCATCTGCTTGTATTATTGTTCGTATTTCATTGCTGCGTAGGTTGCGACACGAGGGTCACCATTATTGAAACAAACTGTCAAGGTGTATGTGCGCAGTGCATACCGACAGTTGGTATGCAGTAGCCGCACATTCTACCGTGCGCATAATGATCAGCCATTTTGTTTCCAAAATCTGAAGCTGGTGTTACTCTAGCAGCTCTGCGTTAGTTGCATAAACAGCGCCCTCTCATGATACTAGCAAGCAGATTTAAGACAAAACATCCAGTGCATAAAAAAAAAAAATCAGTGTTTTGTGTGCTTGCAAAATTATCATTCCGTACGATCGTTCTGTATAAGCCAACATAACATTTTTGATTGAAGGACCATTTCAGGCAAGGTTGTCCTTGCATTTCAACGTGAATCAAATGTGCCTGCCACTGGCTCAGTTATGTCAAGAGGGGGCGCTCTGTAATGGAAGGGCGAAATGAAACAACACTTTGGGTGATGCTTGCCACAATATGAATTGAAAAAAACATAATCCAAATGCCATTAATAAACTGCAATATAATAGCCGAGGCTTTTACAGCAAAATGCCAATATTCTGAACGTGTATTTACATGTATTATTTAATAAAATGTGCGATATGAATGCCAGTGAAGCTCAGGTTGATAACGCATTAGACCCCCCTCCGGATTCTGGTCAGGGGCTGGCGCCAAAAGTCGTGTGGTGACACAGCTTTTGTATTTTTGCTCTCACATTTTTCCCTTGAAATCATATACTTAGTACATGTGCTTGTACGTAACACTGAAATAGACAGGCTCCCTCACTATTTACTGTTTAAAAACGTTTTCAGCTCATAGATGTACACGGGACATAAGACCACCTCGTTTGTGTGATTCACTAATGTGAATGTATGATATAGAAATGGCATTCTGAAAGAGTGCCCGATTGAATGTATGGGGGCCAAGAAGTACCCCATATAGAAATGGCATTCTGAAAGAGTGCCCGATTGAATGTATGGGGGCCAAGAAGTACCCCATATAGAAATGGCATTCTGAAAGAGTGCCCGATTGAATGTATGGGGGCCAAGAAGTACCCCATATAGAAATGGCATTCTGAAAGAGTGCCCGATTGAATGTATGGGGGCCAAGAAGTACCCCATATAGAAATGGCATTCTGAAAGAGTGCCCGATTAAATGTATGGGGGCCAAGAAGTACCCCTTTACTGTACCTATTACTCAACCGTACCTCATCTAAAACACGTTCAAATTATGCAGGAGCGGGATTCAAGCAAGTTTGGCAGCCTTTAGACAACGTATTATACCAATTAAAAAACCTTTTTAGTTTGCTGCCAAGCAGGTCTATGGCAACACACATGCTGACCAGAAACCGGAGACTTTGGGGGGGCCTTAAAGTGACCCTTTTTCACTTTACAGTAAAACACACTTCAAGGCTACAAATTTGGGCCTTGAAATTAAATAGCCTTTCAAAATGGTTCTTTTGGAACAGGCAAAATGTTTGGAACAGGCAAAATGAATTTAAAAAGATAAACAGTGCCTCCTGAATACTGACCTCGCATGCGCACACTCAAGTCAGCTTGTCCGAATTCCCTTAATTCCTATTTAGTACCAATGCCATGTAATTGTGGCGATGAAGGTGGCACATAATCCGGGTGTCTATTGTAATGTATTACCAGCATGTTTCTTATGGTGACCTTTTGCTTTAAAAGCATCATTTATTAACAGTGACGGGTACTCAGATCAGTTGAATTTTGGGAAGTGAAGGTTTATAGTCTTGAATTTGTGTGTTCTTTTTTTTTCATCTAACTTAAATTTTGCATATTGTGTTTGTTCAATTGACAGAAAAAAAATTTGGCCCTTTAAAGTTGACATAAAATTGTTTAGTGACCTTGATAAATTTAAATTTTAGTTTCCGAATTTTATTACACTCCAAAATTCCAATAAATGCAGCAAAATTCCAAGCACACTTTCTCTCTTGCCCATTTTTGTTTTAATTCGAAGTCAAACTGCTAATGAAAAATAATGATATTCCATCGACAGGGAACAAGGTAAGTTCTTATCTGCTCTAGGTTCCTAACAATCAGAAACAAAATCAAAAGACAGCGAGAGATAGTCATTTTGTCCTTATAAAAACACATTTTTTGCACAAGTGTTGGGTAACCTCAAGGAAATAAAATAATACAGCTACGTTAAACCCTTTTTTTTCGTTGTTTCACCGAATTCAAGTCAAGACTTACCAATTCCATTGTACCCTGAAAGAATTGGTATCTGGGGGGGAAAAAAACACCTCGACATGCAGCAATTGTACTGAGTCTCCTAACTGCCACAAACGTGCAGCAAGTACTTTTTTAAATTTACAATAACGGCAACATCTCAAAACACTTTAAAACTAAAAAAAACACTACCCAAAAGGTACCGTAGCTTAGGGCGTAATGTACAATTTAGTTTTCAACAGTCATAAATGAGGGAAAAAATGAGGCAGCCAGTCCTAGAAATTATTACTGACGGGGTTACAAGTCGGGCTTACAAGCATTTTTATACCTCTCTGTATCCCAACCAAATGTAAACCCAACGAAAAAAAAATTGGCCAGAATCGGACACCATAGTAGAGCAACAAGTGCATTCTTCACTATCAAGACTGAAACGACAACTCTTTTAAGTACAATTTTGTAATCGCATCTATGTACACGAGGCCAACACAATCAGATTACCACCCCCGCTGGTCACGCCTGTAAAGCATTCCTGAGGCAGCATCGGCTCCCTGGAGAGTCCCAAAGTCTGTCCAATGCCTCTGTGTCAGTCCCACGCTGCTGAATCATACACCAAAGCCCAATGTCTACTCGTACAGAGGCTGCTTTTGTGTTCAAACAATATATAATTTTGCTCGCTTGCAACAGGAAGCCGGGCCCAATGGGAGGAGCCCTGTATTGGAGAATGTCACACCCACTCTATCAAAATGAGGAATAAGTCAGGAGGCCATGCAGTTGAGAGCATCTGCATTGCATAAATAAGCTCTCCACTGTTCCGAAAAATAGACCTATGTGCACTTGGCAAATAACTGGTATTTCTATCAACTGATTGTATGTGTGTACTTCGGTTCCACTGCAAATTACACCTAACTGCATCCTAAGATTGCATAATTCAGCAATCCCAGTAAAAAAAAAAATTAGAAATTTTTTTTCTAAAAACCACAAAGAGACAAGACATTCCATCATACAACAATTAGGCAGTAGTGCTATGCTAATCATGATGAACACATCCAAGGGAATTTATTACAAAAGGACACTTGTACAGGTTACAAGACATGAAAACTGCTGAAGTCAACACCCTCAACTGAATTAACAGACTATAAAAATGCAAAATTCTCAGACAGCCCAAATTACTTGATTCCTCATTTTGACAGAGCCACGTTCACCCTTGGGGTCTTCTGGGAGCAAGTATCACTACAGTACCTTCTAAATGAGGAATTCGGAAAATTCAGTCTAATTAACCAAAAAACAAAAATGGCAATCATCTGATACCACGGTAACAATCACCTCCTAAACCGACAACAAAATATTGCTTTGAATTCTGTTTTCTATATACAGATGCTGAATACAACTTGGCATGCTATCAAACCGGGTGCTGAATTATGTTCATTGACTATGCGACAGACAAGCCCCCCCAAAAACAAAACAAAATCTATGTTACACAAATTAGTGTTCCACTTTTTCTTTTTTTACGTATTTACACTAACATTCAGGTTATCTTACAGCTTGGAAAAAAAACAGAAGGGAAAACACATATGTAACATTTACAGAAATTTTTTTCTGAGGACAAACTCTCACGTGGGAAAATAAAGGTCAATTTTGAATAACTAATCAACATGTACATGGATAATTAAATACCCCGATTTCCCTATTTAAAACCCTCCTATGCAAAGATACATTCTTGAACCAGTTGTCCTATCAGTCAAAAACCAGTCAAATTTCCCATATGTGTCTGTGTACAGGGGGAAATCAAGTGGAAGGAATTTTTGACTTTTTGAGGGTTACAGCAAAGGAGGGTTATTTAAGTCTCGCAATTCCGGTACACTACCTGACTGTGGTTTAGGACTTATTTATTGTGTTGATGACGAATACAGGCAGTGGATATTTTATCATAAATAGTACCACCTGTCGTTGGAATTTGTACAAAGGGGAGAATGCAACCGGTACCCCCGGATGCCCACACAAACTAAAAAGTTATCAAAAGTAGACACGAACATGCTGAATATTCATCAGCAGCAGTTCCTCATTATGTACTGATACATGTTAAACTCTTGCTGTATAATCATTTCCCTTTTTAGAGAGTTCGAAGTAGGCTGGGTTTTTTTTTCCAATTTTGTTGACAGTGAAGTGAAAATCAATCGAGACTATGATGCAGCTCAAATCTTCACTTTCAGTTATCGGGCCTCAAAAAAAAAAAACCCCTGCCATGCAAAATAGAGATGCTCTGATCAGAGAGTGGTGCAACTCTTCAATTGCAAAAGTTTATTCAGACAGATTCTGGCCTGTCCATCTGTTCCATTTTAACGTCCTAGTGAAAGTACTGATAAGTGAGGATTGCGAACACCACATTAAACCAATGCTATCCCAACTCCAGTTCGGTGACGCGGGAAGTACATGTGTATACGTGAGTACTACGAACATAGGACTGTTGTTAAAAGTTTCTCCAATTTCACAATTGAAATCCAGTCTTTGGCTCTCCTGTGGGATGATGTCACAGCATAGGCTAAGCACCTCTCAATTTACTCTTTCCGGGCAAAGTTTCTTTAAGAATCAGTTGTCTTTGATAAGAGGTAATTTATATTAAATGCCACACAGTTGGTGTCTTAAAACACGATTCCAGCACAGTTTTTTTCCCCCTTTGGGGGTGGGGATGGGAAGGGGGAATATTGAGACACTGATAAAATTCTTCAATGCTCTATTAATGAGCGTTTCAAATCTTCCCTTAATATACTGAAACTCCACTAACTTGCAGTGAAACCAACGGCACTGTTTATGCCTGTCACAAATATGCCCGGACATCAGGCCCTCTGTATATAAACAAGTGGCTACAATGTACGCTCTACGTCCCTCAAACTCATGCAAATGTGGGCAACAGATTTTTTTTGGAGCACTTAGGTTTAGTCTGGATTCAGGGCACGTCCACATCTGTACATGTAATTCTCGGTACAGTCTAGAAAATTCACTAAGACATTCGTACAACTTCTGGCCACCTCCATCCAAAAAGGGGGGCGGAGCAAACGGAAAGGAGTGGGGGGGGGGGGGNGGGGGGGGGGGTTTCCAACTGGAACTGCACCTCTATCTTCTTCCAGCTAGCTATATATGTTTCTACGATGACTTTTTGCCTTCACTACTCTAGCCAGAACACGCCTACCACGCCTACAACTAACAACCGAAAGCAATTGTTTTTCCTCGTTGATTGCTACTTTTTTGTCAAACTGTTTTTTTTTTCCATTTTAAACTCGACTGGGGAGAGGGGAAGAAGGCTGAAAAATGCTTGCATAGTTAAATCTTAAGGTAATTTGACAGAAGCCCCGTTGCAGACTATATACAACTGTACACACACAAATATTTTTTTGGTTTAAATTGCAAGTTTTGTTTCTGTTTATACTCCAGATAAATAGTTATTACTTTTAAGAACACTCAACAAAGAAAACACAAAAAACAAGACGAAAAGAAAGTCAAGCCTAAAAGTGAACTGACAGGGTTTTTGCTTGGATACGTTTGGGAGAAACAAGCTTGCATTTTTTTTTTTCTGAAGTGCATTCGTCTTATTTGATACCGTTGATTTCTTTGCCTTTGTTTTGAAGGAGTTACACGTATACTTGTCCATGTACGTGTACGCGCCTCATCTTATAACACAATAGCATTGCGGTTCATTATAAACAGAACAAACAGCACAAAAATAAGCGACGAGAAATCTACTCGTAAATGCAAGTTTCACCGGATGTGCTTTTCACTGAATTCTTTTCATTACAAATTCAGGCAGGGAGGCTTTTGATAAATACCATCCAAGCTTTCAGGTTTTTTTAAGAGCACTTCACACTCACGAGGTTACACATGTACAGAAACATTCCTTTTTTTACATACAATTCTTGAGATGGACTTAGTTGGAGCTATCAACCTTTTAACCCTAACCTTCCCCAACCACATGGAATTAACCAGTAGTAAAGTGTATCATTCTGTGGGGATAGGTCTGGTCGGCCCCTAACAGCTGGCTTTTGCATTGGGTTTAGCATACCTCAGAAAAACAAAGTCCAACAGCCTCTGTGCACAAAGTCCCATATGGGTGTTTAACTTTGTGTGAATGGGGAAGGTCAGGGCCAACAACCCTTGGGGGGGTTAGGGTTAAGATGTCTTTTCTTTCAAGACGAGTGCATATTACAGTTTGAAAAGTAATCTGGGTACTATGAAATTATCTGATATTTTTCAATTTTTGTTAGATTTTTACACTTTTTTTTTTTTTACTTTTGGTGTTTAATATGCCAACTTTTAGTGTCAAAAAGCTACAGCATTTGTACAAGCGAAGCTTTCAATGGCTAACAGTCTTTAACATCACTGAAGCATTCTAACGTTTTAAATTTTTCTCTTCCATTCTCGGGGAGCTTCAATGTTTATTTTTTCCTTCTTTTCCTTGAAGTTTTCCGAAACCACAAGAATCCAAGAGCTCCCTTTGGCTACTTTCTGCAGACAAGGAAGGTAGCTAACATATCAATTTCTTCTAACCTGTATCATAATCTTGAACAAAACGAGAAAAAAAAGGTCTCTCGCTGTTAAAAAAAGATCACTTAAACGTGACTTATTTAATGCAACCTTTCCAAACCTGTCCGCGGTTTTTTTTTTAAGCTAACACAGTGTGACCCATTGTTGGAAAACATACGAAGAAATCGTGTCAGAAAACCTCATCGTACTTAACGTATTGCACTCTCTTTAGTCTACGCAAACAAATGGAGCCTATTTCTAAGTGCCAACTACCGGCATGCAACGTACAGTACATGACTTTTGAATCAATGAATAAATATGAAAAAAAGGGATAATCTTTGGTGAACAAGAGGACTAGGCTACAAACCGTTTGCTTAATTTTTTTTTAATCTCTCTTTTTGTTTTACTTTTTATTGAAAAGAAGTAACAACGCAAAACTGGGAGTTTAACATGCTAGAAGTAGTAATTAAATAATCAGATGTCCGTAGGCTAAGTTTCATTACAATCGGTTCTCTATATGCCTTTTATATCGTTTGTACTTAAGTGAAACTTCAAAACAATTACGGCACTGTTCAGTTCATGCTTCCCACTAGGAACAATTTAAATATTTTGGCCAGTATGTTTAAGGCAGGCTTTGTTTGTCTTTCTTCAATCATTCCTTTTAATAGAAAGTTTTAAACACACACTAATTAACAACACACTCTCTTAAGTTATGTGGCGTACCCCCTTTTCATTGGTACCTGTAAAACTGGTATGGGCCACTGTACCTTGAATGAACTCACAGGACACACAAAAAGGATTCAGGCTGTACCATTGACTAGCTGGGGCGGATCCTTAGTCACAGTGGGAGGGACAGCCTTGGCAGGGGCATCCGCAGGTTGATTCGGAGTTGCGTCATTGCTTGGCAATTTCACTGCCTTGGTCGGGCCGCTGGAAGGTGGCCGTCGGCTCCGTGGTCCCCTCGGATCCCGTTGCTCCTTGGGTCCGTTGGACAGAGGTGGCCGGGCAGCTGCGCCGTTATCAGCCCTCGCCGTGGCTTTGCCCTCGCCGTTGACTTCCCGCCTCTCCAACGTGTCGCCAGCCGCGCTGGGGGGCCTGGCACCGCCGGTACCCTGTGAGTTGCTGGCACCCCGCTGACTGCTGCCACCACCCCCTAAACGTCGCCTGGGCATGGGGGAGCTGGCTTTGCTGGTGTCTGTGTCGTCCGCGTAGTTCTCATGCACCCCGTTGCCGTTTTCGCTACCTCCACGACCTCTGTTCCTGCGTCTACGGGGACGGCGCTTGTTCCGTCTACTCCCGTCATCTGAGTGAATGGAAATATGTTTGTTATTATCACAATTATTACGTATTTGAGGTATTCACGACACCGAGAATCATCTCGGCTCTGAGCACCCAATTCACAAGCCTAAAGAAACATGTAGAGAGAAAACAACGAGAAGCAGTTCCACTGTAGAGTTGCGAGGACAACCTCAGAGGAATATGCTGGGTAAAACCCACAATATTGGACAGGGGATGAAAACCCAACCCACATTTGGACTGCGCCAGGAATCGATCGGGGACCGCAGAGGTGGAAGGCGAGGAATGAACAACTAGGCCAACTAACGTAACACCCAATGGAGTTGGGGATGTTTTACCAGTCAATGTAACACAGTGCATCAAATTGCGCCAGATAGAGAACAAGTCATTTCATCCCAGTTTCAGTTTACGATATTCTTTCTCTAAAACAAGTCACAAAATAGAGCATTTAAACTCAAGG